AAAATGCAAGTATTAAAAAAAATGTACTCGGGAAAACAAATTTGTACAATGAAATATTTGCTATATTTGCAGTTTATTTATTTATTATAGAATATCATCATAAAGAACAAGCCTTAGATATCATGAGCTTAAAAAACAAGCAATTGACTTATGTTTTGTGTGGTAGTGAGAAACAACTCGGCTAGACATACTTTTTTTTGTTGGTAAATTAGACTAGACATGATAATAGTCAACCATACACAACATGTATAAAAATTTACTTTTATGTAGAAATATAAATGGTATTAAATTACATGAAATTTCTTTTATGTCAGAATTACATTAAATTTTTATTCAAAAAGTCTAAACAATGTGTTATGTTTCAATTGAAGTAAAAATACAAGTATTTTGGTGTCCAATATCATCGTATAAATTTTCATGTATAAGTTTGTTGTTAGTTTTTCTATTGTTTAAAACTGCCCAAACTTGAAATAATGTGTGCGTGACATGTTTTATGTTTTTGACACATTTCGTTTACGTAATAAATGGTGGGAGAGGATTATTTTTTACCCAACCAAACTATAATAATAATTTTATAACTCTACAAGATGATGGCCACTTTGATGTAATATTAAACGAACGTTGACTCGAGAAATGACACCCATGCATATATCCTTCTATAATAACATTTCAAAATTTGTATACATTTTTGCCAAGGCAAAACAAAACGAGACTTATCTCGATAATGTCATCACCACGGTTGCAAAACACCATAGATAACCCAACTCTGGAGCTCTCTCGAAGGCGAAACACAAAAAACAAACCTAAGTTCTCGCTCGGCGGCTCCGTCGTTGGAGACTTGCCGCTGCGCTCCGCCGGCGAGGTTAGTCCCGGTGGCCTCTTCTCACTCGACCTCTCCCTTCTCTCCCTTGCTCACTGTCATGACTTCTTCTCCACAAGCTCACATCCCTCACATCGACTTTGATCTGTTCATGCCATCCTCCGAACGAAGAATGGACGACGCTATCCCGACACGGGTTATCACTCCGTCTGCTCCTGTCACCGGAGAAGCTCAGGGAAAAGTTTGCGATAACTCTTCCGACATATTTGAAGAGATTGCTTCTCCAGATCCGCTTTGTCCGATTCTTAATCAGCGATCGACAACTACATCTCCAACGGAGGCTTACAACCTCGCTGAAGCGTCTTCCATAGCGGTGCCTGTCTCTCCTAAGACACGAGTGTTGGAATTCATAGGCGATTTATAACTATTTATAAATATTGACNTAGAATTCAATTTCCANGATTCGTGTAAANACTAAATTAGATCTANCTTCTATGATTTCGAATATACCTGGATATTTGGCAGCGAAAAGATGAACTGAATTAAATCAAGGTTATGTAGCACTCCAAACGTTGTGCCTCTATCGGTATCCACATGCACACAAACTAAATCAAACGGGATGCTAGTGCCGTAGAGATCTAAATCTCTTATTATGAAAGACAAATTGTTTTGTATTCTTTAGTAGGGTTTATAAGCGGCGACTTCTGAATGAATTATTATCATCCGAACGTCACATATATATACAAGTCTTGTATATGTGACCTAATNGACCAAANCCNATACGTGAAGAAGAAGAAACTTTGTGAGCAAGCAATCATAATTACTTCTCCTTTTACTTGACCTTCACGTNCACTCAATAAATATANCGC